TCCATACGTTTTGTCGTTTTGACAAAAATGTCTTCGCACGCACGTTCGTCAGCACTAAGGATGTTTTTATTAACGTTATTGTTTATCTCTTCGAGTTCCCAAAATAATTTCAACTGTGTGTCAATTGTTTGGGAGAAATTACATTGCACACTCTTAACGGGAAGTGGGTTATTACGTAAAGGTCCCGACATTATCCAACCCAATTTTGTATTTTGTAAATAAGGTCCTTTGTTCAACTTAATTTTGCCATCACACAATAATTCCCAGAACTTATCCGCGCCTATCAGTATATCGATGTCTGACGGTGAGTGAAAGATCGGATCCGCAAGTTGAATATTATCAGGTAAACTCATATTATTTACATCGACACTAAATGTGGGTAATTGATTTGTAATGCACGGCAACACTAAACAATCAATGTTCATACAAAACGAATTTAACCTTGAACGTAATTTTATTTTACAAATGTGGGTGGACTGCGAAATTATTTGACCTACCCCAGCAACGTGATAAGTGGACTGTATTAACGGTGCATTTAATGTTTCACATAACGATTTCTTTATGAAACAATGTTGACTACCATTATCAAGCAGAATGCGTGTGATATTTGTTATTGTAATCCGCTATGTCCACTAACGCTGTGGACAGCAAAACGTTGGGTAATAACGAATATTCCTGATTACTGTTTTGCGATTCTGAATGGTTAGCCGTAACGTGTAATGATGACGAGACAGTGGAGACGTTAGCGGTGACCGGCTGTGCTGATGCACTCGACCCGCTCACCTGTGATGCGCCGTCTACCTGCCCATCAATGTGAAGCAAACTGTTGTGCCTTTTATCACACAACCTACATGGCCCAAACTTGCATTCGTCAAGTGGGTGGGTTGCGCGTAAACAATTGATGCACAGCTGATGCGTTTTAACTATCTTATTCCTTTCTTGGATAGACGAATTAAGAAACCTTGAACAGGAATAAATCGCGTAATTACCATGACACATCACACACACGCGGCTTTGTTTTAGTTTCGTATTACCCTTATTGTTATTGTTAGTAACGTTCGTAGCAACATGAGTATGTGTATATTGTTTCTTAGAGCGCGTTTGTTCGCCGCCTTTGTTCTCGTGGGATTTGTTATGGTTGACTTTTATCATTTCTATGTCCCATGTGTCCCATGAATCTGTTGGTTCACCTAACGTTTTAAGGGCACGCAATTTCTCAAAACAATATCTATTAAGTTCCTAATCTGGGAAGCGGACTCTTTATTTAACGATGGAATTTTAAATAATGCCTTCACATGATTATGAACCAATAGTCGCGGATTATTAAATCTATTCTCTAATAGCTCCCATGCGTGATAGTAGTTGTGAGCCGTAAATTCTAATGCACCTATGAAGTGTGCCGCGGTACCGGACAATGACGATTTTAAATAATGAAATTTTTGAACAGGACCTAAATCATCGCGATCATGAATCATACTAACGTAAGAATTTTTAAACTCTAGCCAGCAATCGTATGAACCGTCAAAGGAAGGTATTTTAATATCGGGTAACTTTATGCCTATCGGCTTACATGTTGAAACATTAGACTTGTCAGCTACTTCCTTTCTCAATAAAAGTTTTGCAGAAGCTACAGCACAATAAAATTGATTTTCGAAACGATCTCTCTCTTCCAGCTGTTTTACAAGATCGAGATCTTCCGCTACCTCTTCTTCAATTTTAGTCTGTATTTCACTATACATCTCTATCAAATTCGAAGTACTCTCGACACGTAAATTTAATTCTAATGACTGTTGTTCAGTCAAGGGTAAAGTGAACTTTTTAACATAATTTTCAAACAGAGTTAATCGACCTTTTAAAACTCCTCTTTTCTTAATTAAATCTGGCAATTTGGGCTCACTCATGTTGGGAAATTAAGGAAATCAAGAGTACTTACAGTTGCCAATTTGTAGATGCGTGCGAACAAAGGTGGGTGCCGTTGCGCAGGTAGGTACCGCCACTTGAGCACTGGAAATGGAATATCAGACGAAATCAACACCTATCGAAGGATGAGATGGGGAAACGGACGGGAAGTTCAAACCTGCCACTCCTGTCTGTCGATGCCTTAACGTTGCAGCTCTTCGCTCGATACGTGAATCTCCTCTTCGTATTTTGATGCGACGAATCTTCGGAGATTCCAAGCTTGAACTCCTTATCCGGCTCGAAGGACCACTTTATGTACAGGAACGGTTTGCAGGTGCTCTTCAATGATTGATTTATTGAACGTTTTTTTGGTTATATTTAAGTCGTCTTATTGCTAACCGTGTGTATCAGGTAATAATCAAAATTTAAAACAGACAGATCTTATAACTAATTGCACGACGTGCTGTGATTGGTTGCCAACAATGACGAGCTCTGATTCGTACATAAAAGTTTGGTGTTCCGGTGCGTCGCTAGACGGCGTTAGAAGTCGCGCCAACATTACATTTAACATAGAACCGGTATCTAGTTTAAATTGCATTTGTCTACCATTACATTGAGAAATAGCATTCCATTCCTTAGGTAACTTACATTTTTTATCCCGGCTTCGGACATGTTTTCAGGCTCACACACATTCAAGTTTAAAACCTTATCGCGTAATGTATATTTATGCACACACACTTTAGCAAAATGCCCTTTTTTATCACACACATAACACAATGCATCCCGCGCCAGACACCGGTCGTCAGTGGAGCACCAACCACTGCCATATGACAAGCAGCGTGTTCGCGAAGCCGCCAAGCCGGCACTGAACCCTGGTCCGCGGCCACGAGCGCTGCGCCTCACTCCGCGCGACCTTACTCCACGGCTGCGTCGTACACCACCGTAGCTGCGACCGCTTGCATCCCTTACAGCATCAACTCGCATTTCACTACCGCCAGGACCATTCTCGATGCATGAACTTTCCTCCTTCGATATTTCTGCCACTTCACAGATCTGGACCGCCTTTTCTAATGTTAAATCATTCGTACGAAGTAGCCGATCACGTACAATGTTACTTATGATACCGCAGACAATTCTGTCCCGTATTAAGCTTTCATTTAGATTACCAAACTCACAAGATTGACTTAGCAATTTTAGTGCTAACATTGATCTATATTTTCGCCTTCCTCTTGGCCTCGCGTAAAAAACTTAAACCGGGATAACGCGACATTAGGTTTTGTCCCAAAATACTTATCAAACTTTTTCAACAAACACTTAATATCGTCTTCACTTTCATCCTTGATGTACGTAAAGGTCGAATAAATTTCGTAACCCGGCGATCCAATGAGGTTGACCAGTAAACTAGCCTGCACTGAACTTTTCTCGTTAGCCACTCCCGAGGCTTTAAGAAACACCTCAAATTGTTTCCGCCACTTGCGCCATGAGTCTGCTCGAGCAGCGGGGCCGCCTTCGAGCACTAATTCTACGGGAGGTCGCGCGTGTTCCATCACTTACTTTTACACAAAGTAAACAATTTACGTCAAAAATAAGTTCCCTTATCAACAATGTTACTTTTACATTGACTATGTAATTTATTTTCAAGACCGCTGCCACCATGTAATAAAATAAACGCTAGCTGGTTCAACACTGATTTATTATATTTTTGAAGGTACAGTATCCACACAAAATATCAATATACCCACAATATACTACATCTGTGAGAGCGTGGTCCTTCCCCGGTTGTGCTTACCCATTCGTGCTACAACTATACTATTAATATAGCTGAAGCATGGCTCTTCATCCAAACACTTCCAGCCTTCCAGATAATATTACTTTAGTATAATAATTACTTTGTATCTCATTATAAGTAAACTATTGTATGTTCTTGTGAGAAATAAATTTCTTTAAACCGAAAAATTCAATTAAAAAGTAGCAAACTCCGTCTAAGACAAGTTTAGCTTAATATGTTCTAAATGATTTAAGTGGATTTTAGGCTTTGCACCCATCTTCCAAACGCCCTGTATAATTAACATGTGAAAATTATAGCTTATTTGAGTTTCTCACAGCATTTTTAATAGAAGCGAAGTCATAAAGTTTACAGCTCACTACCGGAGTAATTGCACATTTTCGGTCTTTTCGAAGAAAGTAGGCTCTTTTCTTGAGTGTCTCTTAATCGGTCCAGAAAAAACCGCTGCCGACAGTAAATTCCACAATGTGAACCTCACGGCTGTGAATTACTGATGTGGATTTTTTTTAAATTCATGCAATCGCTCTATTATGACCGGCAGTAGCTTAAGTAAAACCATGGATAGTAAAAAAAAAAAAACAAATTCAATGCTTATTTATATTTGAGTATGTAAGCGTAACATTTCTTTCATATATATATTTTACACAAGGAATTAAAAGGTTAGTCTAATTTTGAATGTTGTTTATAAGTTAAATGTTGAAATAATATAAAAACAAAACCTTAAATGATATAGACAGGTAAGAGTAGATTTTGTCAGTCTTTGTCAGCATTTTTTTTACATTAGTGTTTCGGGTGAATGGCACCCAACGTTCCGTGATACAAAGATAAAAATTATAAAGAACAGTGAGACTTTACGGACAACGTTAAAATCTGTAGCAGAAATTTAAATATATACTTAAACAGAAACTTTGATATATCTATTGCCTATACATGAGCAAACCCAAGTGAGGTAGGGTTTTAAAAACTTGAATCTTTCTGTTACTATCAATTTATGTGGATTACTAATAATTATTTTATTTCATTACAAATTGAATACCATTAATTTTGAATCAAGCCTTTTGAAATAACACATTTTACAACAGTTCCACACAATTTAAATATATTGCCATCGTCTATTTTCTAAATCCTACTTTATGTACACATATATCACATTTATACAGATGGGATCGCTTACCATCCTGATAACTTAAAAAAAATCGTTTATAAAGGTGTTTAGAATAAAATGCCTAAAAATGGCCACACGCGTCAACCGTTCCTACTTACTAATTCCGTTTTTCCTTCTATTGCTTTTGGTTTACAATACTTATTTTAAATATTAGCTAATATCAGACAGTTCGCTATTCCATTGTGGTAAGTTACTTAATGCAAGGAACAGGTATTTCGGGAATTCGTTCACCGTTTTACCGATCACAACGAAACGTGACTGCAATCGTTCCTGGCTTAACGCTTCTGCGAGGAAATTCTTCGCTTCCAAAATTTGAGCCTGTTTCGGAGCCTCTTGAGTGTAGTTACCTGAAAATTATTTAGAAGAATATATATTTAACTATATTTGTTTTACGCGTTAGCTTGAAATTGACTATATATGTCAAATATATAATATCTATATTATAGTATTTATAATAATAATAGTCGGTTGAATACACATTAAGCTAAGATAAAAATAAGGTTTTGTATTAATTGCAGCGGGTTTAATTGTTATGAACGATTAAATACCAAATTTTGGGATATTTGACAAAAATCATAACTTTCACGACAACTGAAAATTCTAAGATCTAAGTTGATCTGTCACTCCTCAAGGCTTGGATGGGGAAGAAAGGTTCTCGAGTGGCAGCCTTGTACCGGTAGGCGTAGTGTAGGGCGACTCCCACTAGATGGAGTGACGACCTGGTAAGACATGCAGGAAGTCCATGGATGCAGGTGGCTCAGGACCGTGCTTTGTGGCATACCTTGGGGGAGGCCTATGTTCAGCAGTGGACTTGTGAAGGGCTGTAATGATGATGAATGATGAATACCAATACATACAAATTTAAAAATAATTAAAATTGAAAATGCAGTTAAAAATGTAGAACTACTGTTGTATATATAACATATAGCTGATGTGAAGCACCGACGCTTCGGGAAGTCTGCAGTCTGCGAACATGTTCAAGATCGGCCCCACCATTACATTAGATTTGATAAACCACAAATTCTCGCAAAAGAACACCGATTCCTACCAAGGATGATACGCGAGGCTATTGAAATTAAAAAACATCCAAATTTCAATAGAGAAGATGGTTGGGTGCTACCATCTGCTTGGGATCCTATAATTAACAAAATTAAACCCAAACCCAAGCATACCACTGCAAGACTTCATGATACTGTAAGCTCGTTTTGCGTAGATCGGACCAAAAATTAATATTAAAAAACTGAAGGTAGCCGGACTAACTATGACATTGGGACGTCAAACATCTCAGTCCCCCCCCGTGACCATGGGCGCTGTAAAGCACCCGAAACGTCGGGATAATAATAAAAATAAATTAAAGTAATTAAACACGATAAAATCCGTAAATAATAGTTTTATTCAACTACTGTTGTGTCTCATCTAGTCAAATTTAGGTAGTCATTCACATTATTAACACAATGATCATTTATCCACGTGTAAAGGGCGCCTTTAAATCTATTAAGGGGTAAGTCTTTTATATTTTGGGGTACTTTACTAAATATGAGCATACACATACAGTAACTAGCAGCAGTTTTTTTTAAACTGAGCACTCTTGGGTATAATTTCAGCAACAAGTCTATTGCCATTTCTGGTATTTTGCGTATAAATCTCTTTCGTTTGTCTGAAATAATGCATGTTTTGTTTTACAAAATTTGCAATTTCAAAAATGTACAGACATTGGAGGAGTAGTATTTTCAGAGACACATATAGCGGCCTGCAAGGCTCATCGGGTGCAGTGCCACATATTGTTCTAATACATTTTTTTTTGCAATGAATGCCATTTTTGCATCTGTGCTATTGCCCCATATACAGTGTGAGTCTTTATAAAATGCACATATCAACCAAGGAAATTACACACAATTTCATCGACGGAAAAATTACAAAAAAAAATTATAATTTTTTTTATTAATATTTTAAAATTTGAAATTGCAGCTGCTAACCCTATTTAAATAAATTGTTATAACTTTTAAACTGAATGTCCTATCAGAATGGAATACATTTTTAAATTATTGTTAATAATAGGTTGTGCCAATAAAGCAAAAATTTTCCATAAAATTAACGTCATAAAATTAGAATAAAGAGGTTATTGATGAAAATCTGGTATTTCTTTCATCATTTTTACAATAACTTTAAAATTTCTCGAAAATCGTTCCTTAATCCTACTTTTTTAATCCTATGTTATTCTACGTCATATTAGCTTTCTAATGGTAAAAAATACACGTTTTTTACTCAAATACAACTTTATTAATTAGCATTTAAAAAAAAAGCACATAACACAGTTAAGCACCGTAACAGGTAGAGAGAACTACATTTTTAGGAATAAAACTAGATTTTATCTACATAAATCATTTATTTTATTAAAACAAATTGAAAACAAAAAGCCTAATGAAGCAAATGTTCAAAATGAAGACCCCGTTGTTGCAAACACATTGTGGCGCGAAGCAAAATTTGCTCTGTGGCTCTACGTATCATTTCGGGGTCGTTTCGAATTTCATTAGCAACACGCAAAACTCTTTCTTCGAGTTCCGCTTCGCTGTTTATGGGACTGTTATACACCCTTTGTTTCATTGTCCCCCATAAAAAAATAGTCGAGCGCGTCAGATCAGGGGAACGCACCGGTCACCCAACAGGTCCTTGTCGGTCGATCCAGCGGCGCGGATAATTTTCATTCAAAAATGTCCTTCTTATTTTTAGGATAGGGTGACAAACGAGCACACAGCCCACCTGATGGTAAGTGGTTGCTGTGGCCCATAGACATCTACATTTATCCTCGAATGCGAATCAAAATGCAGATGCGTTGTAACCCGTGAGGACTAAGATAGAATGCTTCGTATCCAGTAAAAAGGGCCTCCGGTTCTCTACACTCACCATACGAAACACAGCAGCATTAAGCTACTATTTGACGCTGGTATTCTGTGAGAGCGTGATCCTTCCCCGGTCGAGCCGACCCATTCGTGCTACAACTATACTACTAATATAACTGCAGCATGGCTCTACCACGTATAAAATCCTGTCATTTCGGGAGTAATGGACAGGGCATCCGTCCATTTGCAGCATCATTCGTCGACGCGTTAGCAGCGGCACATACTCCAACAGCAACAACACATACTCCAACAGCAACGGCAATTCGTCCCTTGAAAGTTCAATCTCTCCAGTTAGGGCCCTCGGGAGTATGGACCAATCAAAATGTCAATGAGGGCGGCCCACACATTTAATGAGAATTTAACTTGATATGTTGAAGCCCTTTTCAGCTTAGGGCTTTCACCTTTTGGACACGATTTATGTAAATTACGATAGTTTACGATTCCGTCTCTCGTGAATTGAGCTTCATCCATTCACATAATTGTTTTAGGGAATTCGGGATTGTCCCTTGTTTTTCTATTAGTCCATGTGGACATAACGCACCTTGGACGCCAATCCACATCTTCATTTAAGTGCTGCACCCTTTGATAATGGTAAGGATGCAAGCCTTCTTTCCTCAAGATGCGCCATACTGATTTTTGGGACACGCCATGACGTAAAGCCAAACGTCTAGTACTAGTAGTCGGGTCAGCAAACAAATCATTCAAAATGGCTTCCTCAATAGCAGCATCAATAGTAACACATGGTTCGCGGCGGTCTCGAGCAAAAGTAAGTCCAGTGTTAGCCAGTCTTCTATGGACCTCCTGGAAGTTTCGGGCTGATGGCGCAGGGCGTCGATTTGGAAACGCAGCCAGATAGCTGTGCGAGCAACTCTAGCACTCCCCCGGTACATTCCATAGTAATAATGGATATCGGCAATGTGTGCCGGAGAGAAATCACTTATGTGCAGCATCGCGACCAATAAAGCGAACGCGTGGCGCGATAACGACCTTGGCAGTAGAAAAACACGAATAGCAGCGGCGAATAGTTCGGAAAAATCATTCATTTGTCCTTCGACTGGACACGTCTCCCCGCACCGGCCTACCCACCTACAGCCCGCTCGCCCAGGCCCGTGACAGCTTAGTTCCATTCTACGCAACTTGGCGCTACCGTCGCAATTTATCCTCTGTCTACGGACGCCATTTTGAGACGCCATATTGTGTTAATGATCATATTGTCAAAAATCAAAATTATCGATATTGATTGCCGCCATTATTTATCAAAATTTGTTACAATATTCTGTTTTTGTGCTGCTCGTGTGAATATTGCATATACCATCATAATGGTATATGAAAAGTGTTCTGTTGGTGGTTGCAATACAACACGTGAAACGCACTGGCTTTTCAGATTCCCCTAAGAACGATAATGAAACTTGTGGATGTCTTTCATAGTGCCGACAAATCCCCAGCTCATTGTACTTTCCAAAGAACAGTTACTTAACAAACGTGTCTGTGAAAAAAATTTTGATATATTTCATTTCGACAATGAAGGTAGAAGACTTCGATACTCTTACCCGTCCTTGCTTATTGACAATAAAATAGCTCATGGTGTGCCTCTGACTGCAACAGGTGAGTCATTTTATTACTTTCAACCATGGTATTTAAAGGAGAAGGACACGTCTCTATACATTCTAGGGCCCAAGTATTAACAAGATAAAAGTACGACCATTTGTAAGCATATACTATATAGACAATTCATAGCTGAAAATCTCGCAAGATTTGTCAATGTAGGAACTGAGTTATTGTAGAATGAGTAAAAGTGTGATTATCTATTGGCTGCACTGTAACAGGTGATTTTCACTATAATTACAGTTACAGGCTACTTTTCACTATAATTACTTAAATATATAAATGCAGGATCAGTAAAAAAATCACCAAAAAAGCTAATGAAATAATATGGTGAAACGATTAACAAAAGTTAAAACAACAACAACTAAGTGAAGTGAATATTAGGAATTCTGATCTTATAGATGTTCCAACTTGGAAAAATTACGAAATGATTTAACTCGAGTTGAAATTCACGCAACTCGAGTTAGCAGTACGAATCAGAGTAAATGATTTGTTACAAATTACTTTTTTATAAATTTGTTTTTCTATCTAGCTCTTTGGAGATAATTATAATTACCTTTTTATACCTATTAAAACTTATTATATAGGATTGATATAATAAGGTATATTTAGTATATTTTTGGTTTAATATTAGTTATAGTAAGTACTTGTATTTAACAACAAAAAACTAGATATATAGCAGTCTTCATGAAATAATATTAGTTTAGCTTTAAGATGTAGGTACATAAGCTATTAATAGTTTAATTACAAAAGTTGAAGTCAAAATATTCTTAAATAAGTTCAATATATTTATAGAGTTAAGTGTTACATTTGGCATTAATTTAAACACAACTAGCTATAATAAAATTCTAAATAACAAATTGTTTATACCAGTAATATACCTGCAGCATGGCTCTACCACATACAATTGCCATATAACTTAGTTATATGGTAATATAGATCACTTTTAATTACGATTATACTAAACTGTTGTTAACAGTAGCCATACAGCATTAATACATACAATACAGAAGTATAACATTATATATTTATTCTTTAATTTTGGGTTTATGTATAAGAACATAAAATTCACAAATATTATTTGTTTTCAGGAATAGAAATCTAATGCTGATGTGGTGAGACAAATGTTGCCAGAAGATAACAAAATGTACACATTGGCATAAAGGTATGATTAATTCAGTTTATTCTTAGACATAATTAGGTAAGATAAGATAACATATCCATTATATCTATATTCAGCATATCTATCCTCAAATCACGGTAAGAGTTCTTTGTTCTTCATCTAATCTAAAGATTACAGTTCCACTACACTTCAATGGTTTTATCAACAACTCTGTTAGTATTAAGGTTACACTTATTTGGGACTCCGTGCCTGAAGACATTGAGAAAGCTCTTATTTACTGCATCTACTACTTTATTTCACCACACCATAGGTTGACTGATAAAAAATGCCAACTGCCATGAAGCCACCCTTTGTTACCTTAATTTAAATAATATATAGTTTATGATTATCATTAAGTCATAAAATATGAATATTGGACTTTATTTTTATTTATTTCTTTTCAGGTTACGTGGTGTAGAAAATGAAATTAAAGAAGAGATGTTTTTTTAATTTTTGTAAAAGAATGGTCAGGTGTACCCCAGATGAAAAATAAATAGCATTATAATAAAAAATAACTTGAAAAGTAAAATATTAAGCACTTAATGATTCCTGTGGTTTAATTTGCTTTATTTAATGAATTATAAATATTGCTCTGTTTCTCGTCAAATTGTACTTATTTATGTAAAATGTTATGCACAATTTCCTAATTTGTTTATATAACTTAATGTGCCTTTAATTTAATCCTAAGATTACGTTTGTATGTATATGATGTTGGTGTGCTTCAAGAAAAATAAATAAGTTAGATTTATTATAATTGTTTCATTAAGTATTGTTATTCCTGTATAATGCACTTATGTCGATATCGATAAAATAAGAACACCACTAAACATCGATATCGATAATTTGAAGGATGTGTGCTTGCAATCCCTAAGCTATACATAGCTATACTAAATTGTATAGTCATTACTCATCTGTCAAATTGGGCGACTGCAGCGCCAAAAGGCGTAATTGGGAAACTTGACTAAAAGTCACTGTCGTATCTTTTTTTTTTTTTGCGCCCGAAGCAAATATGGGCAACCCTCCGGAAAGCGGGGGAGGGAGGTTGAGAATGCTCATAGCATACCACGCAGCCGGCTGCGTGGTTATGTGGAGACTTTTACCCACTAAACTCAACCTTTTGGTAATTGGCTTAACGATCTGACTAGAGATCTCTAAGCCGTATACGAACGCGACCCTCCTTGGCAGAAAGGAGGGCGCAATGTCGTATCTGTAGCTTGCTACATATTTATTTATCTATGCGCTCGCCTCTACAATGAATCACCCATACGAAAGGGTCTCTACCTGCCTGATAAACAATTGCGAGTGCGTAGTTAAACGATCCGCAAACGCAAGGGCTTTTTCAAACACTCATAGAAATGGTTGCATTTGAGTAATAAACTTGCATTTTTTATCATTAGAAAGCTAATACGAAGTAGAATAACATAGGATAAAAAAGTAGGATTAATAAGACGATTTTTCGAGAAATTTTAAAGTTATTGTAAAAAAGATGAAAAAAATACCATATTTTCATCAAATACCTCTTTATTCTAATTTTATAGCGTTTTTTTTTTGAAAATTTTTACTTTATTGGCAGGGCTTATTATTAACAATAATTCAAAAATGTATTCCATTCTGATAGGACATTCAGTTTAAAAGTTATAACAATTTATTTAAATAGGGTGAGCTGCTGCAATTTCAAATTTTAAAATATTCATAAAAAAATTCTTTAATTCTTAAAATTTCTTATAACTTTTTTTTATAAATTTTGCGTCGATGAAATTATATGTAGTTACCCTGATTTTGATATGTGCACTTTATAAAGACTCACACTGTATAAGCCCGTATTGCAGAACGGATTCCACATATGCGAAGTACGCAGTAAGTGCAGTATTTTTTGTGGCTACTTTGCTTAGTTTATAAAGTGCGTATGAAAATCTATTTACTTTTTTACAAACATGTCCAACTTGACGTTTCCAATTTAGTTTTTGATCTATCCATATACCTAGGAATTTTGTCATATTTGTACTTTTTAATGTTTGTACTTCAAAATAAAAGTTCATTATCTGGTATAATGTCATTGAAATTTATAAAATAAGTTTTGTCAAGATTTATAAGTACGTTATTTTTAAGCCATTCAATTGTTGTTTTTACTGTACCGTTAATGTCATTAATGTGGTCTTTTAGTGATTGTTTACCATCTGTTTTCACTATTAAAGGTATGTCGTCAGCAAATAAAATGCATTTGTGTTTAGTTACATTCGGAAAAAACTACCCTTTGGAACTCCCTATTTATTTTCCTTAAAATCTGATTTGTGATGTGCTCGTTTGCCTCCCTATCTTATAAAAATGGCTGTAGCCAACTTAAAACCAAGAAGGTTACAGATGCGCTGTCACCTCTGAGGCCTACTGAATGCCTCCCAGCCTGAAATCATACTGGCCGTGTAATGTGTATGATCTGCAAGCAGTGAAAATACTATTGACGATTTTCGACTAACAATATCTTCAAATTTGTCAACGAATTATAGATTAAAAATTATTTGTTATCTGCCTTTGTCTATCAACAGGCCTTTCCATTGATATGAACAGGTTATGTAATATGTATATTTTATATAATTCATTTTGGCATAATAACTTAATTTGTTGTTATACTTATTTAAATAGGTTAAAATGTGACGGCTGTGATTCCTGGATACACATGCAGTGTTCACTGCAAAAAAGGTAAAAGGTATTACCTAAATTTCCTGGCTGTAACATATTGAATTTTTTTATGTACTTAAAATAGCCAAAACTTAATAAAATCACATTTTTAAAGATTACCTATAAAAGCTAACACTAAGGCATCCGCAGAGTACTGAGGAAACAGAGGCGACCGTCTTCTCCAACCGAGAGCTTCGAACGTCTCCCCATCTGACGATATCATGAAGTTGTACGGTATACTTGAAGTGTTCGTCGCCTGTAAAAATAATTACAAATTGAATTAGTGTTTATATCACTGCTAGTAGTCTTAAAAGAAACGCCCTCATCAATCGCCTAACTTATCCAAAGTGGAGAGAATTTGCAGTAATCCCTGCGCTTGGAAGTTAGATTGTTAATCGCAATACCAGACGATGCTGCTTCTCTCGACGCTGCTTACCCACGCAGGTCTAAGAATTTTATTATAATGCCACCTACAGGTGGCTACAAGAATATGTTGTCATGCATTTCCCAAGTTAAGAACTTACGTCTTTTACGATGCTTTTTTCCAAAATGTCAACCTCACTTGAACTCACTAATCGGTCAGCTCATTGAGTTTCATTAAAATCTATTTAGGCGTTTACTGGTGATTGTGTAATGAACATCCAAAAATATTCACAAACTTTCACATGTATATTTACACATTATAAGATTCTTATTTAGGGCACTCTTCACTAGATGTTTCGTGGCGATCCTTGGGAGAGGACTATGTCCTGCAGTGGACTTTCGAAGGGTTGTAATGATAATGTCCTCCAGACCGAATATCGGGCAAGGCAGCCTGCTTCAACGGAGACTAGCCATCGGCGCAGGACAGGATTATAGTGCCCAAGTGAATGCGCAAGCACAGGTGCACTCTCCATTCCCTCACTCTCATAATCCGATGGGACGGTAAACCGACACGACCGGAGAGAGATCAGGCGCAGGACCAACGGCTTTACGTGCTTTTCAAGGCACGGGGGTGAGACACCGTCAACTTCCTGACTCTGGGTAACTACTGAGAATTTCTTGACGGAAAAACTCAATAACTAATTTTTTGGCCCGAACCGGGATTCGAACCCACACCACTAGACCAACGAGGCAGTCAAGAAGTGTAAAAGAGGTTATAATAATAATGAAGTAGTGAATATGATACACATAGTTACACAAAGCCCGGAGAATAATTAAAACACATAGGAGAAAACATGGAGGTCAATATTTTAAATAAAACATGGAGGTTAATATTTTTTACGTGGTAGATCCAAGCTGCAGATATATTGGTCTACAGTGGTATCACACGAATGGGTCGGCTCGACCGGGGTAGGACCATGCTCTCACAGAATACCAGCGTAAACTAGCAGATTAATGCTGCTGTGTTTCGTATGGTGAGTGTAGAGAACCGGAGTCCCTTCTTACGGAGACGAGGCATTCCATATCAGTCCTCAGGGGTGACATCGCATCTGCATTTTGATTCTTAATTGAAGATAAATGTAGATGTCTCTGAGCCACAGTATCCACTTACCATCAGGTGGAGTGTGTGCTCGTTTGTCACCCTTATTCTATAAAAAAATATTCCAAATGATGTTCAATTTGTAATCAGACGGCTAATTGATATAAAGTGATACTAAATATTTTTCTTTCTAATTATTTGTTTTAAATAATCTGTTTCCACTATTCATGTCATATTAAAATCTTTTTAATATAAAAGTCCTTGTTTTTAAAAATCGAATACCATTTATTTATTTAAAAAAAAGATTGTCGGTCTTGTCACAAGGTTTTGTCAAACCTGTTTAGTCGTTGAGGAAATGGAATTGACTCGAGAAAAATCAAGAGCGATGATTTATTATGACTTTCCAAGTGGTTTAACACAAAAACAGTGTGTTGACCGGATGATTTCTGCATTTTGTGATGAAGCCCCATCCAAAACCACAATTTATTGCTGCTTTGCTAAATTTGCAACGTGGACATGTCAAACTCAGTGATGATCCCCGTCAAGGTCGTCCAAAAACTCTAGTCATCTAAGAAAACGTTGATGCTGTGCGTAAGCTGATTGAGGAAGATCGACATGTGACATACCGCGAAATTCAGGCAACTTTGAACATTGGCATGAGTCAAATACAAATAATCTTACATGAACAATTAAGTGTAAAAAAGTTGTTTTCCCGATGGATATCGCTCTGTGAAGAGAAAAAAGCGGCTCGCGTTACTTGGTGCGTCAGAACTCTCGAAAGATTCCACGCAGGATCCTCAAATGCTATATACAATATCGTATCAGGTGACGAATCCTGAATATATGCATACGAACCCGAAACAAAAAACCAGTCACGAGTTTGGGTGTTCGAAAATGAGTTAAAGCCAACAAAAAATGTTCGTTCACGGAGTGTTGCAAAAAAAAAATGGTGGCCACGTTTGTCTCCAAAACCGGCCATGTTACGACTATTCCTCTTGAGGAACAAAGAACGGTTAACAGAGAATGGTATGCTAGCATTTGTTTTCCACAGGTCGTTTCTGAACTCCGTAAAGAGAACTGCAACCGCCGCATCATCCTCCATCACGACAATGCGAGTTCTCACTCCGCACACAGAACAAAAGACGAATTATTAGACCATCCGCCGTACAGCCCCGACCTAAGCCCTAATGATTTCTATACTTTCCCTAAAATAAAGAGTAAATTGCATGGACAGAGATTTTCATCACCTAAAGAAGCTGTGGACGCCTACAAAACGGACCCCAACTTCCGAATGGAATGGTTGCTTCAATGATTGGTTTCATCGTATAGAAAAATGTGTCAAATTTCGCGGAGAATACTTCGAAAAGCGATAAATACATTTTTAAATAGTAATGTTGTGTCACTTCCTCGATTCCCGAAATTTTCAGTGCCGCCCTCGTAACTGTAATTTATGACATCCACACGATCGCCAGCAACAGAGTTTGGCCTATTTAAAACATACATACCTACCTATGAAAGACACGCTAAGTTCTTATAAAATTTTAAAACATATGATTTATAAAGACGAGTAAGAACAATATCAACATATTTTAACAAAAATCTACAGATTTTAACAAAAAACGCAATGGCTAAGCAAAGCAATCAAGGCACAGAAATTTAATTGACTTACAAATTACTATTATTTTGATAATCTAGATTCAACAAATGAATTAATTTATACGTGGTAGAGCCATGCTGCAATTATATTAGTAGTACAGTTGTAGCACGAATGGGTCGGCTCGACCGGGGAAGGACCACACAGAATACCAGCGTAAAATAGTAGCTTAATGCTGTTGTGTTTTGTATGGTGAGTGTAGAGAACCGGAGACCCTTTTGACTGGAAACGAGGCATTCCATCTTAGTCCTCACGGGTGACAACGCACATCTGCATTTTGATTCGTAATCGAGGACAGATATAGATGTCTACGGGCCGCAGCAACCACTTACCATCAGGTGGACTGTGTGCTCGTTTGTCAGCCTATACTAAAAAAAAATTTAAGTGTAAGCATAATGATTAAAAAAACGAATGAGTATTTTATAAACAGACCCACATATCTGGATTCTACAACAGCACCACCTACCGGCTCCAACTATGTTTATAAAAGACAAGCGATCTGCCCCGGCTTCGCACGGGTGATATCTGGATTCTACAACAGCGCCACCTACCGGGTCCAACTAAGTTTATAAAAGACTAGCGATCTGCCCCGGCTTCGTACGGGTGATATCTGGATTCTACAACAGCGACACCTACCGGATCCAACTATGTTTACAAAAGACTAGCGATCTGCCCCGGCTTCGCACGGGTGATATCTAGATTCTACAATAGCGCCATCTACCGGATCCAACTATGTTTATAAAAGACAAGCGCCCCACGATCTACGCCCGCCCAACATAACGATCGCCCCCTTCGCACGGGTGATATCTGGATTCTACAACAGAGCCATCTACCGGATCCAACTATGTTTATAAAAGACAAGCGATCTGCCCCGGCTTCGCACGGGTGATATCTGGATTCTACAACAGCGCCATCTACCGGATCCAACTATGTTTATAAAAGACAAGCGATCTGCCCCGGCTTCGCACGGGTGATATCTGGATTCTACAACAGCACCACTTACCGGCTCCAACTATGTTTATAAAAGACAAGCGATCTGCCCCGGCTTCGCACGGGTGATATCTGGATTCTACAACAGCGACACCTACCGGATCCAACTATGTTTATAAAAGACTAGCGATCTGCCCCGGCTTCGCACGGTGATATCTGGATTCTACAACAGCACCACCTACCGGCTCCAAATATGTTTATAAAAGACAAGCGATCTGCCCCGGCTTCGCACGGGTGATATCTGGATTCTACAACAGCGCCATCTACCGGATCCAACTATGATTATAAAAGACAAGCGATCTGCCCCGGCTTCGCACGGGTGATATCTAGATTCTACAACAGCGCCATCTACCGGATCCAACTATGTTTATAAAAGACAAGCGATCTGCCCCGGCTTCGCACGGGTGATATCTAGATTCTACAACAGCGCCATCTACCGGATCCAACTATGTTTATAAAAGATATGCGATCTACCCCGGCTTCGCACGGGTGATATCTGGATTCTACAACAGCGCCACCTACCGGGTCATATTCATATTATTTATTGCATCCATAATGTTACAGTTAAGGTGTTAAGAACATTTTAAGTTTTAACTTAATACTATGAGAACATTATGGGCCCTGCAGGGTACGGCAATTAAGAGAGAGAAGGGAATTTTAATGAAACATTTAACTATGCATATAACCTTCGCGGTGCAAGCAATATGTTGATAAAGTTTTATATTATTAACGATCTGTCCGGCTTCGCACGGGTGATATCTAGATTCTACAACAGCGCCACCTACCGGGTCCAACTATGTTTATAAAAGACTAGCGATCTGCCCCGGCTTCGCACGGGTGATATCTGGATTCTACAACAGCGTCACCTACCGGGTCATATTCATATTATTTATTGCATCCATAATGTTACAGTTAAGGTGTTAAGAACATTTTAAGTTTTAACTTAAAACTATGAGATCATTATGGGCCCTGCAGGGCACAGCAATTAAGAGAGAGGAGGGAATTTTAATGAAACATCCAACTATACATATAACCTTCGCGGTGCAAGCAATATGTTGATAAAGTTTTATATTATTAACGATCTGTCCGGCTTCGCACGGGTGATATCTAGATTCTACAACAGCGCCATCTACCGGGTCCAACTATGTTT